CCCAGTTGACTCTTGAGACTCCCTTGCAAAATTTTGATAGGAAATAGACAAATCCAGTAGACTAGCCTGAAAAGAGCAGAGGGCCCAGGAGCTGAGGTAGCTGGGTAAAGGGACCAGCTGACGTCCAGGAAATCCAGGTGGGTAGGGGAAGAGGAGGAGGAGGAGCATGGGTTGTAGCAGCGGCGGCTGTGGTGTGCATCCCTTATGTAGGACCGAGGACCCAAGGATCGTTCAAGTTATTGGGCGTGTTGATGGCTGATAGCACACAGCTGAGTTGATAGAGCTCTCTCTCTCTCTCTCTCTCTCTCTCTCTCTCTCTCTGGCTTATCTTCAGGCACCAAAGGAAGCTGCCCCACCCATCTTCGTTCCTGCCCGCCCCCTAAGGCCCAGCCTGCTGGCCTCCGTGGGGGCCGAGGGAAGGGTCATGGGCCGAGGGAAGGGTCATCCCAAGCTCAGAGCTCCCGGCCCAGGAGGCTTTCAAGGTGACTGCATTGCTGGTCCATTTCTTCTTTGGTTCCATGCTAACTCCTTCAGTCTCACAGAGGTGCCGAGAGCTTTCTGAGAACAGCCCACAATGTTTCTCGAGGAATCCTGTTGAGGACAGTCTGCCTAGAAACAGACCCATTCTCACCTTCGGGACCCTGTGGAACAAGTCTCATGCAGCTGAAGGTGCCCGCCTTGGCCGCCTGTCTTTTCTAAGCTATCGTTCCCTCCTGTGGTCCTCATGGGAGGTTGCCTGTATCCTACATCCTGCAGAACAAACAAACAACAAATAGACCATTAACCCAGTTGTTGTTGAATGGATTCCCGACTCAGGTGGCCTCTCCATGGTAAAAAGCTGAACCGCGCTTCATACGGTTTTTCAAAGAGGTGATCTTTCAGAAGTTTTGCCTGCGGCATCTCTGGGTGTGTTCGAACCACTGACCTTTCAGTTGTAGCTTAGTACTTAAGTGCTTGCATCCTGGCCACGCACCAAAGGCCCTCTAGTTCCCTTAGGTCCTTGAAGTGCCAGGACTCACAATGAGACAGAGGCTGCTGAGGTTCAGGAGCACTGGCTACACAATGAACCAAGGGTGGAGCTCTTTAGAAATCCACATTTCTCATCTTCTTCCCTCCCTCCCCATCCATCCATCCATCCATCCATCCATCCATCCATCCATCCATCCATCCCCTGATTCTGAGAGCCTGCGCGCAGCAGGGCCTTTGCCTTAATACCAGACTCTCGGAGGCTGTTCTGATACGATGCTAAGATGGAGAGTCATTGGGCTCGCGACTCACTTCAGCTCAACAGCTTGAGGGCCTGTCCTCTTGTTTGGCAGCCTTGTCATCCGACTCACATGGAGCTGGCTCTCAGCAAAGCCTCTGTTTTGTTCACACATGCGTCTGCTAAGCTGCTGCTTCCCCACCGCGTGCATCCCCGCCCTGCCCTTGTACACTGGGCCCTTGGAGTCAAGCCTGAAGCGCTCCGCGGAACCCTGTTCATTTTCTCTCTCGAGTTCCAGGCTGTGCGCCAGCAGGTCAGGATGTTTGGGGGGTGTCCCCCAGTTTGTCCCCCAGCTGGCCCTGTGACCCACAGGTGACAAGATAGACCAGGGTGGAGTCTGAACAGAACCATCCATCATCGTGACGGAAGACGGTCCCTGTGGGCAGTGCACCAGGGCCATCTGGAGAAGGACATGATCTAATCTATTTCCATCACACTTGGGAAACTGGTCTGCGGCACAGATGGACCACTCGAGAGAGGGACGAGCAGTGTGCCCCTGAGCCCCCAGCTGGGGCAGGCTCCACACTGTCCTGCCATCTATGGCTCTCGTCTCTAGGGTGGCCATCTCTTGGAGGACAGGAGGGAGGCTGGCTCCCCTGATAGGAGATGTTTAGCATTAGAAGGAGTCTGAGAAAGGACCAAAGGCTTTGCTGATCAGAGAGAGCTCTGTAGTGTGCCAAGGTCACAGAGTTCAATTTCCACAACTAACTTCTCCACTGGGCAGGCAGAGAAACCAAGGTGCTGGGTCCCCACACAAAACTGCCTCTGAGCAAGGGAACTTGGGAACTGCCTTCTGGGCCCCAGGCCACCAACCTGGCATGGGGTTGAGTAGAATTCCGTACCATCTTCTGTGGCCCAAAGGTCACACATGTCAAACCTGTCTCCAGGGACCATAAGCAATACACCCACCCCTGAGTGGATTCCGACTCATAGTGACTCCAGAGGGCAGAGTAGAATTTCCCATCTGGGTGCAGAGACAGACAGCCTCATCTTTCTCTGTTGGAGTAGCTGGTGGGTTTGAACTGCTGACCATGTGGTTAGCTCAATGTGTAACTCACTACACCAATAGGTTTCTTTTGAAGCCATGTAGACCCAAGGAAATTTTCCTTCCCTTAACCTGTGGGTCCAGATCCCTTTGGGGGTTGAACCCTTTCACAGGGGTCGCCTAAGACCATCGGAAAACACATATTTCTGATGGTGGCTCCTCTATCCCTCTCCGGGCAAGTCCGCCCACATGCAGCTACGCCCACATCAGAGTACCCAGCATGAAGACTGTTACCCATGCTACACCATGCTTCCAGACAAACTTTCCTTTATTTTTAACTAGAAATAAATAGTTCACAATATCTAATTACATATTGTTTTTGTGATGAATCACTATGCTTTCATTATGTTCCATTTGTAACAATGAAAACACATCCTGCCTATCAGCTATTTGCATGATGATTCATCACAGTAGCACAATCACAGTGATGAAGTAGCAACGAAAATGAGTCTATGGTGGGGGGGTCCCCATCATATGAGGATCTGTATGAAAGGGTCTCGGCATGAGGAAGGTGGAGAACCCCTGCCCTAACTGGTGGCTTTTCGGATCTCCCCCGGCCATTCCCCAGGAGGGGAGTGCTCTTCAGTCTGCCCAGCAGGGGGCATCCTCACCCTTCCACTGCCTGCGCGGGGCTGGGGGTGGGGTGGGGGGACAATTGTCAGTCTACCTGGGGTGTCTTGGATTCAGCTCAACCCAGGAGCCCAAACAGGGTAATCATGAAACTTCGATTTTTCTCCAAAGCCTTTCTACCACAGTTTAGAGAAGGCTTTTCTTTGTCAACTCACATTCAATAAATAAATAACACTGAAAGATTCTTTCAAAACAAAAGCAAAACCAACAGAAACCCCATCCTTGACGAATGAGCTCTGTCTCCTGGAGCAACCCGGTTGGTTCACAGCCTCCAGCCAGCTCTGGGGATGGTTCACAGCCTCCATCCTAGCAACAGGGGTCTCAAGGCCGGGCCTGGGCTGTGCCATCGCTGGGTGAAGATGGGCAAGGCTTTGTTCCATGGGATTCAGAGCTGGACAGCCAACGAACCGGGGTGGGGACTCTTGCAACCCCTACCTTCTCTGTGCCCCCTCCCCAGCCCCAGTAAGAACAGGAGAACAAAGAGGTTGTCGCTCTCCTCCCTCCAAGCTGAGGGGGAGGGAAGGGTTTTGCCTGCAGGCCCCATGTGGAGGGGAGGCTGAAGCTGCTGCTTCCTAAGCAAGCAAGAGGTGGGGACAGGGGTGCCAGCAGCAAGGGCGGGCTGCAGCTGACAGGTGCAGGGCCTGGGGAAGGGGCAGGGATTTCCCTTGCAAAATCCACTCACACAGATCCAGAGGGAACCGGGTATTAGAGAGGGAGCCTGGAGTGTGCAGAGGCTCCCAAAGGGGGCCCCCAGTGGGGACAGATTAGAGGTGGGGGGGTGGCAAAGCTAAGAAGGGGATTCCAGGTGTCTGGGGGAGTTCCTGGGGGTGTCCCTGCAGCTCAGGGCTCGTTCTAGGTTCTACTGCACTGGTCTACGGGTGGGTTTCCTTGAGGTCAGTGTGTGGGTGAGTGTGCTTGTGCTAGGGGTCCCCTTAGCTCCAGCCCCCCCAGGCTGAATTATTGAGTTCACTCTCCTAAAGAATGGCTTTCCATCCCTGTCCTCCTGCCCCAGCCCAGACTGACCTGCAGGGACCCTTCTAGAACCTGGGCGATGGCTATCCAGTGAACATGGGGTGAGCCGGAGACCCGGGGTGGGAGCTGGGGCAGAGAGCCAGGCCCTGAGAGGGGAAGGAAGTCCTGACTCTCCAGGAAGGGTGATAAGAGGAGCAGGTTAGGCAAGAGGAAGAGGGCGGGGACCGAGCGGGCCTGGACAAGGGCAGCGTTAGGGGCCATCAACACGGGGCAGAGGCCCAGGGCTGGGGCCTCTCTGGAGCAACCCTCCTGCCTTGCGTGCCTGACCACAGGCCCCTTGGCACAGAGCAAGGGGAGGGGACCTGGCAGGAGAACCCAGGGGTGGCTGGCGGCCAAGGATTGCTCCAGCCACGCTGTGTGCAGAGCAGTGGAAGGAGGTTCCAGGTCTGATGCAGGCCCAGCAGGCCCAGAGGAGGGAGTCACAGGTGGGGGTGAGGGGTGATGGTTTCTCTTGCTCCTAATTTTCATGGGGCGGAAGCATTGAGTCAGGGGAGCTGGATGTCCAGGGAACTTTGCTTATTCAAAACACTCAGCCCCAGATGGGGCCTGTCCCACCACCCTCAACTCCTGCCTCCGAGGTGGTCCCAGGTTCTCTCATAGCCTCCTGACAGCCGCCCCACCCTGTCTCTTGCTTCAAACCTCATTCCTGTGGGCGCTTCTTCACCTGGTGAGCTCCTTGCACCCTCCCCTCAGTTCAGGTCTTCTGGACCAGCTCCGCTATTGCTCCTTCCCCAGCACTCCGCCCCTCTGCATCCGAACAGGGCCTGCACCTGCAAGGGGGATGCCCGGGCGGGGGGACTGGCTGGGCTGCATGATCTGCTTTTCAGCCCTGCACCGCCTAGAGAAGGAAGCCCAGCGAGCAGGAAGTGTAGAGGCAGCGGGTGAGGGCGGGGGCTTCCAGGAGAGAAGCCCAGCCTCCCCAGGCAGGAGCAGTGACCGCAGCCCCCACTGTAGGCAGGGCAGGAGGAGGCTGATTTACAAGGCAGATGGGACCCTGGCCGAAGCCATCAACCCTGCACCCAGCCACGCCATCATCCCGTGGGCTATAAGAGCACCCAGACTTCCGGATCAGCTCATGACGGGTGCCATGTGAGCTTGGCACGGCCCCCCTCCTTGCTTCCTTCCTAGGCCCACCCAGCCTCTCCAAAGAGGGACACATTGGTGCCATGTCTCTGCTCAACTCTGTGCTGCTGCCCCCAGAGGTGAAGGCCTACCTGAGTCAAGGGGAGCGCTTCATCAAATGGGACGATGTGAGTGAGTGGAGGGGGGCAGGCACCCCTGCCAAGCACCTAGAGGGTGGGGGCGGGGCTGCAGTGGGGGCTTTGTCAGGGCTGGTGGGCTGGTTTATGTCTGCTGGGAAGCCGGCGCCTGTGTGGGCTGGCCAGACCTCACACAACTGGTGGCTGGGTAAACAAACGTGGGGTGAGGGTTTCCACACAGGGCAGCACCAGCCCAGAGCGGTGGCGTTGCTGCTCTGGGCCTTTGTGGCCGAGCCAGGCTCTCTGTCTGGGTTTCAGAAGAAGGTGGTCAGAGGAGGTACTTTTTTGGGGGTGTCTAGGTCTGTCTCTTCCCTGGAGCCTCACCAAGAGCTGGAGTGGTTGGTTGCTCTGGGTCTGGGCTGAGCACGAATGGAAAGGGAAGCATGTCTCAGAACTGAGGCAGGGCAGACGCACAGGGGACCCCCTCGCACTGGTGAGGGTGGGTCCCAGACTGGAATCCCTCCTCCTCCCCGCTCACCCTGGGCCTACCCCAGAGCTGTCCCATTGTCCTGAGCTGCTGTGGGGGCAGCCACAAGAAGGTCCCCTACACCTCCAAGGGACAACTGGAGGCCTCTGCTCCTGGGGGTCGGCCCAGGGACTGCTGGACATCCGCTTCCCCTTGCTGGGCTCAGCCTGGTGCCGGCCGCCCACCCGCCCAAAGGCATGTTGGGAAGACATGATTCGGCCCTGCCCACGGTCTCTACCACGTTGTCCACTGCCTTGCAAGTTGGGGGGTCTGGCTCTCATCCACTGTTCCTCTGGGGCCCTGCAAATGGTGCCTTAGGTCAAGGGTCCTTGCCAGTGGGTGGGGAAACAATCCGTAGACTTTGCTTTGAGGAGGGGCTCCTGCTAGATTGACTCCCTTTGGGGCTGAAAGACCAGGCAGAGAAAGTTGGGGGGTGGAGCTGGGGGAGGGGGGAACATGACCTTTTTGGCTGACTTCTCTATCTTAGTGGGTCCAGTAGGGGACTCTGAGCCTGGGAGTTCAGGCCAGCTGGGGCCCCAGGCCATTCAGGGCTGGGCTTGCCCTGACTCCAGGGAGAGGACCCTGTGGGGAGACGCTTCCTGCCTCCTTGGGAACAGGACAGACCTTCTGGTTGAGGTGGAGTGCTGGTGGCATGGCGATGGCATGGCCCAGGAGCCAGTGAGGGAAGTGACTCAGAATGAAAAATGAAGCGGCCCCTCTCAGTTCCTCTGGGCAGTACGTGTGGCCCCACTGAGTGGAGGATCACAATAGGTGGGGCATGCTCCAGAAGGGGGCCTTCTCCGAAGGCCAGTACCCACGTCCCTGGCCACAGCCTTACCCTCTAAAACAGGGCACCACGGGCGTCCCCGGATCCCTCAACTCCCACGAGTAGCACCTCCCACATCTGCTCCCTCGGGGACTCGTGCCTGTGAGGGTCTACTCAGGTTGTCCACGCAGCAAGAGTCAACAAATGACATGGGACGGAGCCAGGGTTGAATCAACGCAACCTACTAGGTGTGATCAAGCCCTGATTTTATCTCACCCTTCAATGTGGATTGGGTGGGAGCCAAGAGCATGCTCCCTTGGCTCTTGGGGCAAAGAAGCAGTATTGTGGTCTCTTCTTGTCACCCACCCCAGTCCAATTTCAGAGCCTCGTTATAATCTAAACCCCAACCCTCCTTGAGAGTAGCATCTTCTCGCCCCCTCCCCCTAGGGATGCTCTCAGGTGGCTGTAGGGGTTCAAAAAAAGGGTCTGCCACTGGCTCGCCTTCTGAGCCTGGTGGACGCTTGTGGCTGATCTTTTCATGGGTGGGCACTTTTGGGGAGTCTTGAGAGACAAGCCACTCTACCCTCCTCCACCTCCCGGAGCGAGAGATGTCCTATTTAAGGGCCCGCTGGACAACTTAACTCGAGTCTCACTCCTAACTGCTTCATTCATTTTCTGAGCCCTTGAACCCTCGTCCATCTAGGAGCCCAGACCAGCTTCCTCTCCCACGGGCCCACTCCGGCCCGGCTGACAGGCATGCGCCCATGGCCCGGGCACAGGGTGGGCTCAACGCTCATCCAACAACTTCTTTTCTCCACTCATTGCTCTCTGAGCCCTTCTCTCACAGAGCCAGCAGAAGCACTCCAAGGACAATAGAGACCTGTGACTGGGCTGGAGAGGAGGGGCCAGGGACTGTCCTCCGTCCTTGGCGAGGGAGGAGACCCCAGAGCTCACCACCCAGCTTTCTCCAAACTTAGCCTCTCCCTGCGGAACGTTCTCTTCCCTCCACACTCTGATGTTTCCCACTGCGCCCCTGGTCAGTTCTCCCGGTCTGGTTTGATAGGCAGCTATGATTGTAGGCCTTGTCAGGGGCCTTGGAGGCAATGCCAGTTTCAGTATCAGGTCGTTTACACCTGAGACACCATTAGAATGAAAGACAGTGGTGCCCGTGGATCAGCGCTTGGCGGCTAACCAGTGTGTCGGCGGTTTGGACTCACCAGCTGCCCCACGGGAGAAAGATGTGGCAGTCTGTCTTGGAAACCCTATGGGGGCAGTCCTCTGTGCTCTCGGGCCTCGATGAGCAAGGGCAAGGGGCTGAGTGGAATAGGGATGTAGGATGTTTCGTTCGCTCACAAGTTCTCTTGCTCAGCAAACCTGGAGCACAAGACTCATGGTCCAGCAGAGGTCGGCTCCTCAGGGGCTCACGGGACTGTGGGCGGGGCTGTAGGCCAGCTCCGTCCCCACCCCCCCAACCAATGGCCACAGCATATTTTCAGGGGAGGTTTTTCAGGAGAGGTGAGACTTGATTGGGTCTTTGATGTCTGTCTCAGGGAGGGGAGGTTTGAGGGGTGGGTGTCTAGGCTTGGGGTGAGAACGCATTTGGGTGGGTCGGGGGCAGCTCCTGGAGGGAAGCACAGGCCTAGTGAGTCTGGGGCTGGTGTGCAGGGCCTTGGATGCAGGCATGGGAGTTGGAGTCCCTGGCTCTCCCTGTGGGCAGCTCCCCTGAGTGGTGGCAGTGCGTCATAGAGAGAGACGTTCTATCCCTTTGGCCAAGTGGGGGCCCTTGCAAAGTGGCTGACGTCGGGGCCGAGACCCTCCTCCTGCCTATTCCTTGAGAGGACAACGGGAAGTACCTTCGGATTTCCAGGACAGACACCTCCTAAGGCAGTGGTGCTCAACCTTCCTAAGGCCGCGACCCTTTAACACAGTTCCTCATGTTGTGGTGACCCCCCCAACCATAGAATTATTTTCGGGTTTTTTTTAATCGTTTTATTAGGGGCTCATACGACTCTTATCACAATCCACACATACATCAATTGGGTAAAACACATTTGTACATTCATTACCCTTGTCATTCTCAAAACATTTGCTCTCTACTTAAATCCCCGGCATTGCTACTTCCTAACTGAAATTTGCTACTGTGATGAATCGGGTGACCCCTGGGAAAGGCTCTTTCAGCCCCTAAAGAGGTCGCAACCTACAGGTTGAGAGCCATTGTCCTAAGGGGATGTGAACCCCTAACGTACTGCCTGAGTCAGCCTGGGCCAAGGAAGCTCAGCCTCAGGTCTCAGAGCAAAGAATGGACTCCTTCTCTCTGCAGGAAACGACCATTGCCTCTCCGGTTATCCTCCGAGTGGAGCCCAAGGGCTATTACTTATACTGGACGTATCAGAGTAAGGTGAGGCAGCCCCTCCCTGCCGGGCTCTGAGGCTCAGAACACTCCAGTTTCCCCAGTGAGTCAAGGCAGGTGGTGTTGTGGAAGACCAGGCTTTTAGAAGGACCTGAAAGGGTGGCTCTGGGGCTAGTCTGTGGACAGGGGCTGTCCCTAGGACCTGCAGGGAGATGTAGTCATTGTAACCCATGGCTGTCTAGGGCCCAGGTGCTCTAGCTTGACCATCTCCTGGGGAACGAGAGAAAGGGCTGGGGCCGAAGGGCGATTGTTTGCCGCTCCTTCGGGTGACTTGAGTGAGAGGTCTCCACTGTTGGGAGGAGGAAGGGAATGGGAGCCTGGGGCGAGTCCAGGGTGGAGCAGGCCACAGACGTGGGTGATTCCAGTGGCCAGGGAAGGCACCGGAAGAGAGCTTGAGTAGCGGCAGAGGCCCGTGAGTGGGAGGATCTGATTGGTGGATAGGGCTGGAAGCTGGGCTCTGGGACGCCTCAGTTGGTCTTCGTGTCCAGAAAGGGCAATTCTGAGAGAGTGTGGCGGTCCCTCCTCCCTGTCCCTCCTTTATGAACCTGACCTTTCCACCCACGCCCCTTCTGTGTGGGGGGACTCCCTTAGGAGATGGAGTTCCTAGATATCACCAGCATCCGGGACACTCGCTTTGGGAAATTTGCCAAGATGCCCAAGGTAGGTGGACCTGGAGCACCCCAGACTCAGGGTGGCTCCCCAGCCCTCCACCAGGTTCTTGGGGTGAGATCTGGGGCCCCTGCAGGAGTTGGGTGCCTGGTTCTCTAAAGCAAAGGGGAGGATTCCTGTACAGCCCCCCAGGACCCCAACCCTGAGCCAAGGAAGTGGTGTGGCTACTCCTGGCCTTGCCTGGACTGAGTCTCAGAACGAGGGCCCCGTGTTGAGACTCGGGGATGAGGGCCCAGATTCTGCCCTAAGAACACCCCAGACTGTGGCTGCTTTGCCTGTATTTGCCTGATGCTGGTAGGAAAATCAGAGGAAGAGATTGGAGGGAAGCAACAGTCCCTAAGCCTGGGAGCCAGTCTATCTTCAAACAAAAACTGGCAAACAAACTGCACAGGACACACCTGCTGGCTTGGTTCCTCTCTTCTGTGGACTTCTCTCTCCTAGGCCAGTCCCTGGAATTGGGAACAGGAAGAGGTGGAGGGAAAGGGAGGGTCACCCAGGCAGCGAGGGAAGCATGCCCCCCTCCCCACCCCCATACGGCCTGTGTTGGCTGCTTGCTTGCTGCAGAGCCAGAAGCTCCGGGACGTCTTCAACATGGACTTTCCCGACAACAACTTCCTGCTGAAGACGCTCACGGTGGTGTCTGGCCCCGACATGGTGGACCTCACCTTCCACAACTTCGTCTCCTACAAGGAGAACGTTGGCAAGGTGTACCAGGGAGCACCTGGCCTAGGGCTTGGCACCTAAGGGTGGCCTGGATTTCTGAGAGACACAGGCCTGGCTGGGCTGCAGGGGGTGGAGGGTTTTACCATGTGGTCCGTGGCCTGACCACTGTCCTCGATGATCTCGCAGGCCTGGGCTGAAGACATACTGGCCTTGGCCAAGCATCCGTTGACCACCAACGCCCCCCGCAGCACCTTCCTGGATAAGATGTAAGTGCCTGCCAGCCTAGTCTCTGCGCTCGGGGCTAAGCGGGCCCGCCCTAGCAGGGCCCTGACAGGCCTCTTTCTGCCCACCAGCCTGGTGAAGCTGAAGATGCAGCTCAATCCGGAAGGGAAGATCCCGGTGAAGAAGTGAGCCTCCCCCGACTCCTTCCTCACGCTTCCATATCCTGAGCTCCCCAGACTCGTCTTTCCCCAGCACTGACCCCTGCCTCTGCCTGCCATCTCTCTGCCCTCCTTTAGTTTCTTCCAGCTGTTTCCCGCAGACCGCAAGCGGGTGGAAGCGGCCCTCAGCGTTTGCCATCTTGCAAAAGGCAAGGTGAGAAATTCCCTCCCCCGGCTCACTCCCAGGATTCTCGGCTCCCTCTGGGCCAGCCAGGGTGGGAGAACAATTTGGGAAGAGCAGGACGGCATCTTAGTTCCAGTCAGGGGCCTGACATGCCAATTCCCCACAAGCCACTGGTGGCTGATCTTGGGCAGACTCAACAGGCTGGTCCGGAGAGCATCCCCCGCTGGAGGGCAGGGGTGGGGTTTGGTGGGATGTGTTTAGGACAAGCAGTAGCTTCAGGAGTGAGAGAGTGAGTGTGTGAGTGTGTGTGAGTGCGTTTGCCTGGAGCAGTGCAGGAAGGTGCACTGGAGGCAGCCTGTTGCGATCCGGAGGGGGGCACTTTCTGCCGCGTCTAAGGGCAGAAGAGGTACAGGGTAGTGCAAATGGCTAGTGGCTGGCAGTGCCCTGCCGGCGGTACCACGAAAGAAAGGCCTGAGATCTTTCCCGTGAAGGGAATTGTGAAGGTGCCGAGGAGCCAATACAACTCATAACAAGCCCATTGTGCCCCGAGGGAGACTGGGCCAGAGAGAGTTTTCTGGGCTGTTATCTTTAAGGAGGTCCATCGCCAGACGTCCCCCCACAGAGCTACAAGTGGGGTTCACAGAGAAGACCTTTCAGTCAGCAGCCAAGGGCTTCATGGTTGTGTCACTAGGGGCTCGTTTCGGTTAAGCTCTCCGGCAAGAGAGCCCCCAGTTCAACTGGGGCACGCGTGGGCTCCATGCATCAGAATTCACCCTACACGAGGTGCGGAGAAGCAGCAGAGCGAAGGGTAGAAGCGCCAGGCCAATGGAGTTCAGCTCAACCCAGGAAGCCCTTTGTGTTCCTATCGTTTTAATTGGGCCGTTAATGGTTCACTGCAATGAGTCCTACGCAGGGTTGTCCCATAAAATGCCTTATGCTAATTACAAAGAAGAGGCTCCGGACAGATGATGTGTTCTGAGTCAGGAGCTGTGCTTGGGGAGAGGCGTGGATCTCAGGCCCCTCTCCGCCCTGAGCCGGTGACTTATGGACGGCCCAACCTGCCTCCCATGGACTATTCCTCTGAGTAAGAACTGGGCGGGTTATAAATAAATAAAACAAAGGTCCTGTTGGTTATCTGTCTACACGAACCCCAAAAGGAACTTTCCCCGTAGCGACAGTTGGGCAGAGCTGTGGCGTCAATCACAGGCTACAGGTGAGGGGCCCGGTGGGAAGGACTCCTGCTCAGGCCCTACAGCCAGCACCATCCCCCCCACCACCCCCCCATGCTCACCTGCCCTCCTGCCCCTCAGCCCTGCGCTCGCCTGAGGCCTCCTGACTGATCCCTTCTTCTTGTGTCCCAGTTGAGGCCACTGACCTATCTGTGCGTGGAGCTGTCTTTTCACTCCGGTAAAGAGTTACAGTCTTGGAAACCCACAGGGTTTCCTGTCCTAGAGGGTCGCTGTGAGTCAGCTTCAACCCAGTGGCTCACCTGCCTAGAGCCATGCATTCACCTTTCCTGGCAGAGACTGGAAAGGCATGAACTCTGAAAGCGACTCATCTAGTTTCTGTTTCTATTTCTCTGGATGTGCCACCTCTGGGCAGTCCCTATCAACGGAGCCAGGCAGATGTGGCCCCGTGTGTCTGCCTCCTCTCGCTCAGCCTCACATCTTCCAGGTTCGTCCATGTTGAGCGTGCGCCGCGCAGGGCGGACAGTTCCTTCGGAGGGCTCTGGCATACTTTATCGGTCAGCTGGTGGACATCTGTGTTGTTTCCACTTTTTGGCATTTAGGAATAATGTTGGCATTTCGTGGGGACCTGTGTTTGCTTGCCTCTCGAGTTTGTGCCTCTGGATGGGACTGCTGGGTCTGACGCTAACCGTTTCGGGAACCGTCTGGTTTCTGAAGAGACGATGTCATTTTGCAGTCCCTTCAGTCATGCTGGCGGGTTCCAAAATCCTTCACATCTCTGTCAACACCGGTCATTGTCTGTCTTTTCATTTTTTTCTTTCAGCCATCCTAGCGGGTAGTGGTGGAGCCCTGGTGGAGTAGTGGCTACTTGTTGGGCTGCAATCTGCAAGGTCAGCAGTTTGAAACCACCAGGCCCTCCTCAGGAGAAAGATGGGGCTTTCTGCGCCAGTCAACAGTCTCAGTGTTAGAAACTCAACGGGTGAAATTCTGTCGTATATATGAGTTGGTGTTGACTTGACAAGGGGGTTGAGTTGTTTTTTGTCTTGAATGGGTAGTGAAGTTACATCTAGTTGTAGTTTTGATTTGAATCCCCTTGATGTCTGTTTCCTTGTAAACTGGCTATTCAAATCCAAATTCCAGTTTGCAGTTGGGTTATGTGTCCTCATATTCTTTAATTCTACGGTTTCTTTAAGTATTGTGGATACCATTTCTTTATTAGCTATCTGATTTGCAAATAGTGCATCACATTTTGTGGTGTGTCTTCCTTTTCTTTTGTTGGCTTGTCTTTATTTTCTTGATGGTGTCTATTGAAGCACACATGTCTAAAAATGTGACGCAGCCCAATTTATCTATTGTGTACTTAAAGAACAAGCTACCACTTGTGCTTTGGTGTTATATCTAAGAAGCCATCGTCTATCTAATTCAAAGTCATTAAATTTTACCCCGATGTTTTCTTCTAAGACTTTTATATTCAGGTTTCGATTTATAGTTATGTTTGATTTTTAGTTTAATTTTTTTGTATTTGATGTGAGGTAGAGATCCAGCTTCATTCTGTTGCATATGCAATTATCTGAGCACCACTTGCTAAAATCAGGAGCCCTGGTGGCATAGTAGTAATGCGTAGGGCTGCTAACCACAAGGAATTCAAGGTTGGTCCCGCATACAAAAATCATATAAATAGAATACTACTTTACTATACTAATAGAGGGAGAAAGCAAACACATGTAAGTAGAACTATCCTCTGTCAAACCCATTTATATTCATGGGTGCAGTCCCGTTGGCCCTTCCCCACCTGTTCAGCTTGTGTGTCTGTCTCCATAGCTACCTGGAGATTGGTACTATTGCTGTTACTGCAGGCTTCTGTACGGAACCGTTTTCACCTTTTTGTCACCGTTCACTCTTGTGTGCCTCCCAGTGGATTTCTTAGGCTCTTCTACATACAAGACCATGTCATTGGCAAATAAAGATAGCTTCATTCTTCCTTTTTAATCTATGCATTTTATTTATTTTCACCGGTTACTCATTGTCCTCTCTAGAGCCTTCAGCACACATTTAAGTAGAAATGATAAGAGGATCCTATTGAGTAGAAGAGGCAAGAGCAGACATTGTCGTCTCAGTCCTCTTTTAGGGGAACGAAACATTCAAACGTGTACCATTCAGTATGTTAGTGTAGATTTTTCATAGATGTCCTTTCTTAAGGTGGGGGAGTTCCCTTCAATTTCTGGCTTGTGGCATGTTTTTATCATGAAGCGGTTGGACATTTGTCAACTGTCTGTTCTTTGTCTCTGAGAATCGAGGTCCTGTCTCCTTGCCCTTTCATGTATCACTGTCACTCACTAGCTCACTGCCAGAGTCGATGCTGACTCGTGGGGGCCCTCCAGGACAGGGTGGAACTGCCCCTGTGGGCGTCTGAGACCGTAACTCTTGATGGGAGCAGGAAGCCGTGTCCTCTCTTTATTCATATAGAAGATTAATGTTCCACTGACATGATTTTTTTTGTATGTTGAACTAACCTTGAATTCCTAGGATAAACTCCACTTGGTCGTGGTGTATAATCCTTTCCATGTTCATTTTGCATTCTGACTGTTTAGAATTGTTGTTTCTATATTCACAAGGGCATTCGGCTGTCGTTTTCTGACGAAGTTCCATGATTTTAGTATTGAGATGGCACGAACCTGACACAATGAGTCGGAAGATCTTCTCTTTTCTTTTTTTAAAGAGCTAATGAAGGATTGATATTAATTCTTTCCTGTTTGGTTTAATTGAAGCAAAGCCATTTAGATTGGGGCTTTTATTTGTGGAAAGTTTTCCAATTACTAATGTGATCTTTTTTCTTATTTTAGGTCTACTTATATTTCCCATTTCTTCTTGAGTTAATTTTAAGTAGTCTGTGTCTTTCTAGAAATATGTCCATTTCCTCTATATTATCTCCTTTATTGATATAAAATTGTTCAGAGGATTTCCTTATAACCCTTTTAATTTCTATAAGGTTGATAACAATGTTCCCTCTTTTGCTCCTAACTTTATTTATTTATTATCCTAACCCGCTTTTATTGTCACTTCATCTGCATATCATGTAATTCAACAGTTCAATCATGTCAAGAAGAGGTGTACAATCATTATCACAGTAAATTTAGGGTGTTTTCTTCTTTCTTATACTCATTGGTTTATTTTTCTTTAAATTGTAGCAAAAATATACACAACAAAGCATTTTCCAATCCAACAACTTCTACGTGTATAATTCAGTGCCATTGATTGTACTCTTCTTGCTGTGCAATCATTATTGATATCCTTTTCCAAATTATTGCACCCATGACCATAAACTCAATGCCCCCTAAGCAAAAACTCTTCCTCCTTCTTTTCAGTAGTTTTCTTTATATAAAATTCACGTATCATAAACTTCCATAGTAAATCCACTTTTAAAAAGAGTTGTATGGACACCATCACAATCAGTTCTGGTGCTCCCCTCTCCTGCTCTTAATTTTAGTTGATTTTTCTCTCTTTGGTCAATCTAACTAACATTTGTCATTTTGTCTCTATTTCTGTTGATTTCCTTGATTGCTTTATTTTATTTGTTTTTTATTTTAATTGTTTTATTTGTTATTTATTTTAATTGTTTCTGTCTAATCTTTATTATTTCGTTCCTTCTGCTTGCTTTGGGTGTAGTTGGAGCTTCTTTTTTCAAATTTCTTAAGTTAGAAGGTTAAGTTATTGCTTTGAGAGCTTTCTGCTTTCTTAATATAGGCACTTACAACTATAAGTTTCCCATGAACACTGCTTTAGATGCATCCTGTAAGTTTTGGCATATTGAGTTTGTCATTCATTTCAAAACATCTAATTTCCCTACTGATTTTTTTCCCTTTGACCTATGGTTTAATTTCTATATTTGTGAATTTTTCAAGTTATCTTCTGGTATTGAGTTCTAATTTCATTTCACTGTGACTAGAGACCATATTTTGTATTATCTCAGTCTTTCAAATTCATTGAAATCTGTTTGGTAGCTTAGCATGCGATCTCTCTTGGAGGATACTCCATGTGCCCTTGAAGAACGAGCACTCTGGTTTTGTGCACGGAGTGTTCCACAGTATCTACTACGTTTGCAGTGTTCAAGTCCTCTGTTCCCTTTTCCATATTCTGCCAAGCCGGTCTCCCCATTACTGACAGTGGGGCATTCGGGTCTCTAGCTGTAAGTATCAAGTTGTTTGTTTCTCCCTTCAATTCTTCACTCTCTTGCTTTGTGTATTTTGGGGTTCTGTTGTTAGGGGCACGAGCCTTGGTGACACTGTTGGGTAAGATCAGTGGTTCAAACCCACCCGCCGATCCACAGGAGAAAGATGAGGCTGTCTGCTCCTGTAAAGACTGATAGCTCAGAAACCCTATGCAGAGTCACGATGAGTCAGAAACGACACAATGGCAATGGAGTGTGCTGCTTGTTTGGTGTACATGTGCTTATGTTGAACGAACTTCTGTTTGATAATGTGTTCTCCATTCAAGAAGAGGAAACCACTGCCCTGGCAAGAGCACCACTCAGTTCTAGCATCTCTTCTTCTTTGTTCTGGTCCTTCTTAGTCCTAACCCAGCACCTGGTTTAAGACGAGCTGTTGTCCGAATCCAGAAACAAAGCAAACCAGCAAACTCTCCTTTTTGCTTAGATGAGGGTTTCTATTCCTGTAGAAGTTTCCAGTCTCAGAACCCCACAGAGGCAGTTCTACCCTGTCCCTAGTTTGCTGTGAGTCAGAATCGACTCGATGGCAGTGCGTTTTTTAAATTTTATCATGGTTTTGAGAAGTGGGTGCTCAGGGTGTGCCCAATGCTCCTCTGTCTGCCCTGAGCCTCTCCCAGAGCGGGGCCTGGTTTGTGTTTTTGTTTTTTAGCTTTGAAAAGATGAGAGCAGGGATGATGTTTTTAAAAATTCTTTCCATTCCCCAGAATGACGCCATTAATCCTGAGGACTTCCCAGAATCTGTCTACAAGAGCTTCCTCATGAGCCTCTGTCCTCGGCCCGAGATAGACGAGATTTTCACTTCCTAGTGAGCTGCTGGGGCTGGGACTGGCATGGGGGAGGGGATCTGGGGAGTAATCGCTTCCTTTTGTGTTGGCCAGCCGGCAGGCCAGGCCACCAGCTAACTGTGCTGGGAATCTGGAGGCTCCACCCAGGAAGGCCATCGTGTTCCTAGGCCCAGTGAGAACAGACCTGAGCTCCTCTCTCTGGTCCACAGTCATGCCAAGGCCAAACCCTACATGACCAAAGACCACCTGACCAAGTTCATCAACCAGAAGCAGAGGGACCCACGGCTCAACTCCCTACTGTTCCCACTGGCACGGCCTGACCAGGTGCAGGGCCTCATTGAGAAGTATGAGCCCAGTGGCATCAACGTGCAGAGGGGTGAGGACTCAGGACTCGGGGAACCCCTCACCCACGGTGCTCCTGTCCTGCCCCAGAAGAAACTGGGCCACAGCCCTGACGATGGCTTCTCTTCCAGGTCAGCTGTCACCGGAGGGCATGGTCTGGTTTCTCTGTGGGCCAGAGAACAGTGTGCTGGCCCAGGACAAGCTACTGCTTCACCAAGACATGACTCAGCCACTCAATCATTACTTCATCAACTCCTCACACAACACCTACCTGACAGGTAGCCCTGGCCACCTTGCTGAGCTCTCCCTTTGTGGGCGCTGCCCATATTCCCGGAATCCTAGACAGGGTTGGCTGACACGTTGGCAGATCCTGCCAACAGGACAGCCTGGGATGGCGTGGGGTCAGGGAGACCAGGATGCCCGTGATCAAGGTGTCTGCTCCCTCCTGTGCAGGCAGCCAGTTCTCCGGCCTTTCCTCGGCTGAGATGTACCGCCAGGTGCTGCTGTCCGGCTGCCGCTGCGTGGAGCTGGACTGCTGGAAGGGGAAGCCCCCGGATGAGGAGCCCATCATCACCCACGGCTTCACCATGACCACGGACATCTTCTTCAAGGTATGAGGCTTGCGGGGTGGAGAGGGCTGGTGGGGAGGCCCTAGGCAGAGTCCCGGGCCAGAAGCTCTTCAGGGTGGCAGTAGGAGGCTAGAGGAGAGGAATGACTGGGTGGCCTTGAACTCGTGTGAGGACCAGGGAGGGACCCAGTTGTGTGTGTGTGTGTGTGTGTGTGTGTGTGTGTGTGTGTATGTGTGTGTGTCAAAACTGAAAGTCTGGAGCTCCTCTTCAACCGAGTCCTCCTTTCCTCCAGGAAGCCATTGAAGCGATCGCAGAAAGTGCTTTTAAGACCTCCCCCTACCCTGTCATCCTGTCATTTGAAAACCACGTGGACTCGTATGTGTTCAGACTCAGCTTCCTGACTGCCCCGCCTCTCTCCCAGCCCTGCCTGGCCCATGGTCATTTCCTCCAGCTCTTGCCTTGGTCTCCACATAATCCCCTTGAAACCTCTTGAGATCTCTGGCCTGTGGCCCTGCCCCCCTGACCTCCTGAGCCCCTGATCTTGGTCATGAAGGGCCCAGAGCACGGACAGAGTTGGGGGCTGGATTGATAAACCCCACCCCCTACCCCCTCCACAGACCCCGCCAACAAGCTAAGATGGCCGAATACTGCCGGACAATGTTTGGGGATATGCTGCTCACAGAGCCCCTGGAAAAGTTCCCGGTGAGGGAGTAGGGGGGAGGGCTTCTCTGTGGGGCATCAGGGCTTGGGAACCCAGGGCAGGGTGGGTCCCAGGTTACACAAGGGGAGGCTGGGGTTCCTTTGGGAGGGGCAGGGGGCTAGGAGCCTCACATCCATCATAGGTCACGTGCTGTGCTGGGCTTTGGGGGTAGCTAGTCTCTGTCCTCAGGGTGTTTGCCTTTTGGGGGGAAGACAGACAAGACACCGGGCCACAGTAACCTGGGGACAGCCATGGGGGGGCTTGGGGAGTCCTAGGACCCAGTCCCGGGCCCAGGGCAGGCTTTCTGGGGGATGTGATGGCAGAGTTGAAACCTGAAGGACACAGTGGATTTATTTAGGTAAGAACGCGCCAAAAGTATCCTGGGCAGGTGGAACAGCACCTATAGTCGAGAGAGAACACCACTGCTGGAGGAACTGGGTCAAGTTGGGTCAGGCAAGAGTTCAGTGTACGACTGAGGATAGGGAGTGACAAGGCCAGAGAAGTCCGTGGGGGCCGGGGGAGCATGGCTTGCTATGGAGGAGTTGGGCTGCACTTTGAATTGGGGTACTGGGTGCTGCCCCTTTCTTCCCTCCTGCAGTTAAAACCAGGCACCCTGCTGCCCAGCCCCGAGGACCTCAAGGGCAAAATCCTCATCAAGAACAAGAAGCACCAGTCTGCTGGCTGCAAAGCCCCCAGAGAGGAGCCTGGTGGGGAGGAGGAGGGCAGCTGCCCTCCCCAAGTCCCCGGGGGCGATGACACAGGTAAGTCCACCCCCAGTGAGGGTCTGGAATTGGACCCGGGGCTGAGCCTGGAGAAGGCATGCCAGGGAGTCAGCTGGATGCTGGGGGTCCCCCACCCCCACCCCGCCAAGCTGACCGAGTTATGGGGGACAGCATGGCCTGGTGAGGAAGGGGCTGAGCTGGAGGAGGAAGAGGTAGCCGAGGAAGAGGAGGAGGAGTCTGGCAGCCTGGATGAAGAAGAGATTAAGAAGATGCAGTTGGATGAGGTACAGACGTGGGGGCTAGCCCCAGGACCCTTCCCTGTCCTCCGGGGCAGAGCTCCTCTGGGGTCAAGGGTGGGGAGGTGGAGTGGGAGTGTGGAGCCGAGCTCCTGGTCTCTCTCCACCCTCCTCCCTCCTCCCCAAGGGCACAGCAGGCCTGGAAGTGACAGCTTACGAGGAGATGTCCAGCCTCGTCAACTACATCCAGCCTACCAAGTTCATCTCCTTTGAATTCTCCGCCCGTACGTGAGCCCGAGGTGGTGGTGGGTGTGGCAAAGCGGGGTGGGGGAGCAGGAGATTAGGCAGGATTCAGCAAATGGTCATGAAGTGTGTCCGGAGACCAGGGGCAGCTTGCTGGGTGGCGATGAGAAGACAGAGTACTTGGATTCAGGGCCCTGCTATAAATATCCAAGCGAGGATTCAGGTGGAGGCTCGTTCAAGTGGCGGTGGCTCCTAGCTTCCCTGCATCGTACTAAGGAATCCTGTATGGCGTGTGTCCATGAAAGGCCGTCTATGACAGGACACCACAGCCCAGCCAGCCTGGTTCTCCTGTAACGTCCCGTGTGTGCAGGGGCTCAAGGGCTGAGCCACGAGTTCAGCCCTCCCGAGGCTAAGTTGTGCTCTGGGCTAGTCCAACCCTCGAAGCCCTGGTTCTGGGGGCTGAGGCTTCTGGGGACAGCCAGAGAAACCAGACAAACAGATCCATCCTCTTGCCCCCTTCATCGTCAGTGTCCACCTCTGTACTTTATGTTTCTAATCTTCGGGGGACGCATGCACAGTGCAGTCCCCACTCACTCCTGGGACGCGGGCCCGGCCTGTGTGCCTTTCTGTAGCTTCTGCCCTGCCGGGTCCACCACGACAGTGCCTCTCATCCCCGCACCCTCAGGCCGTGCACACCCACAACGGGCTCTACTGGGTGGACCCCTCTCAGCCCGTGTGCTCAGCCATAGCTTCTGGGGGGCTCCCTCCTGGAGCACATCCCAGTGTGAGATCACACTACAAAGCCACAGCGTGCCCCGGCTTCCGGGACACTTCTTCAGCACACTCCCACACGTCCCTTCTCCAGGACAATGGTGTGTACCCTCATTCTCTGAGGCCATGACATGCACCCTCATGCTCTAGGACATGGCACCCTCCCCCCCTCACATACACCCTGTACATGTCCACTGCACATGCCCTGTGCCCAGGGCACTCACTCTTGACACACAGATCCGCACACACTACCCCTCCCCTCTAGGCTCCGGGCCCTCAGGTCCCAGGGGGAATGCTGGGTGGGAGGCTCCCCTAGGCTGTAGGGAGCTGCCCCAAAGGGCAGAGCAAGGCTGATGTGGACCCCACCTTCCTCCCCGATACAGAGAAGAACCGGAGCTATGTCATCTCCTCCTTCACGGAGCTGAAGGCGTACGAGCTGCTCTCCAAGGCCTCTGTGCAGTTTGTGGAGTATCCTTGAGGCCTGCCGGCCTGGGGCAGGGCTGGGGAGGGCCTGCAGGCAGGGCTTCCTGAGTGGGCAGTTGGAAGCCTCTGGTGCTGGCAGCCTGGGCCATGTTCCTGAACTCGGGGGCAGCTACAACAAGCGCCAGATGAGCCGAATTTACCCCAAAGGCACCCGTGTGGACTCCTCCAACTACATGCCACAGATGTTCTGGAATGCCGGGTGCCAGATGGTCGCCCTCAACTTCCAGACGATGGGTAAGGGCATTCTAGGCCCCCAAGACCCTGCTCTGGGCCCCTCCACCCCCCACCCCCCGCCCTCCTCTCACCTTCACCTGACCCCCTGGGGAAGTCTTTAAGAAGACTGGGGTGCTCTGATGGTTGATGGAGGCTTTGGGGCCCGCCAAGTGTGAGTGTTTGGGGCACATTAGTGTATTGGCTCAGGCTGATGGGGTCATCCAGGTCGTAGTATGCACACATGTGATGTAGTCAAGGGGCTGGAGCGGATCGGGCTCCTTTGGCCTGTATTTCTACCTGCCCTCACTGGGAGCTGGCAGACTGGTTCTGGAGGGGACATGGGCCAAGGATCAGGATGAGCCATGGGAAACCATCTCTCTCGCAGTCCACCCAACTGTCAGTCCATTCACAAGCCAGGGCAGGTAGGGTGCGGAAGTGGAGACTGCGTGCAGACCGAGCGCCCCTGTTCCCCTAGACCTGCCCATGCAGCAGAACATGGCGCTGTTTGAATTCAACGGGCAGAGTGGCTACCTCCTCAAACACGAGTTCATGCGCCGGCCGGACAAACAGTTCAACCCCTTCTCGGTGGACCGCATCGATGTGGTGGTGGCCACCACCCTGTCTATTACGGCAAGACCCGGAGCCACAAGAGTGGCTGGGAGGGACGGGATCTTGAGGAGAAGGATACAGCGGCCGTGCCCCACCATTCCCACCCCCCACCCCCATATCCCAAAAACTTCAGCCCCAGCCAGTTCCATGCAGTCGCAAGTTGCCTTGGAAACTGCCTCCTCCTCAGCACGGAGGCTGCCTCTTGGTTGCCCGTGGATACCAAGGGGAAGGGCTGATGCTGGGGAGGGGAGGGGAGCAAAGTGGGCACAGGGTGGCAGCCAAGCCCTGGTGCTGGCGGAGGGAAGACTGCACCCCTTCCCTGGGTGCCAGGGATTAGCCGGTCACGGTCGGACGTGTGGAGGCTCCAGTGATAGGAGGCCCGAGGCCCTGAGCCTGGGCTGGGGGCTAACTGCCATGGTGGGTCCTGCCCCCAGGTGATCTCAGGGCAGTTCCTGTCAGAGCGCAGTGTGCGCACCTACGTGGAAGTGGAGCTGTTCGGCCTTCCCGGGGATCCTAAGAGGCGCTATCGCACCAAGCTGTCCCCCTCTCCCAATTCCATCAATCCTGTCTGGAAAGAGGAGCCCTTTGTGTTTGAGAAGGTGGGGCGCTAGGGCCGGCACGGCTCTTCCCTTCCCTCTTGGCTTCCACTCACAGGAAAGAAGAAATAAAGCCAGTTCCTTCAGCCTCCTCCTCCTCCCCCTTCTGGGTTTCCAGAGAACAAAAACCGAATTTACAGAAGTTTATGTAGTGGGCAGGCGTGTGTGTGTGTGTGTGTGTGTGTGTGTGTGTGTGTGTGTCCCACACTGGGTTTAGAGACAGTGTGTGTGTGTGTGTGTGTGTGTGTGTATGTCCTGCGCTGGGTTTAGAGACAGACTTGTGAATTCTCAGCCCAGGGTGCCTGGGCATCAAACCTCGGGGATCTTTCGATCCTATCCTGTACCTGTTGGCACGGAGTCCTCTGAGCCAGGGGCTGCGTCTCCAGCCCTTCTCCTCTGGGGGACCGTTTGTTGTGAGGATGTCTAAGCATGTGGCCTCCCTCTCTGTCGGTCCTCACCATCTGCTATGTGCTCAGACTGACCCTTGGGCTTCTGGAGCCAGGGAGGGGGCAGACGGGCCCCTCTTCCTTTCCCGGCAGCCTGCTTTCTCTGGCTCTCTCAGATCATGATGCCCGAGCTGGCCTCCCTCAGGGTGGCCGTGATGGAGGAAAACAGCAAGTTCCTCGGACAGCGTATCCTCCCCATCAATGCGCTGAACTCCGGTAAGAAAAGGGGTCCTCCTCCCCGTTCCCCGAGGGTCTGCGACCCAAACCAGCATCAGAAGGTGGGGGCCCCAAGACTTTGCCTAACCCCCCAACACGTTAGCAGCCATAAGGGTGGGACAGGAGCGGTGACTCTCCAGAAAATGGACACAGGTGGGGACTAGACCTAAGAAACAGGAAAGGAAAAAAAGAAACAGGAACGGTGAATTTCTGAAACTGGCTGGGGCAGTTTCCCAAGTGGCTGACATTTATGGGACACAAGATGCCCAAAGGGCTTTTTCACACATCTTTAGTTCATTCTACAAGAACCACACATGTGGCAGACATTATGATCCTCCTCTCAGAGAGGGAAAATGACCTGCCCGAGATGACACAGCCGGGAAGGTGCAGAACCAGGACTTGGATGGCTTGGGGACTGGGCGACTCTGCCCCAGGGCAGTGCAGAGTTAGACTGGGCTGTGGCTCATCGCACCCCATGCTGTCCACCAGGGTACCATCACCTGTGTCTGCACAGTGAAAGCAACATGCCCCTTACCATGCCTGCACTCTTCATCCTCCTGGAGATGAAGGACTATGTTCCCGACACCTGGGCAGGTAAGAGACCCATGGCATGCTGGGAGCTCCAGGCTGCCCTTCTACCCCAAACCCCACCAGCCTCGATGGGGGTGGGGCAGGAGGAAGGGGTGAGGCCAGGAAGAGGCTCCCATGTAATCTCCATATCCTCCTCATGATGCCCCTATGCACCCAGATCTCACCGTGGCCCTGGCCAACCCCATCAAGTTTTTCAGCGCCCACGATAAGAAGTCTGTGAAGCTCAAGGATGCCATGGGTGAAGGCCTGCCGGAGGTCTGTGCTGCCCGGCTGACTGCCAGGGGCACACAGACACGTTGCCTTCTCAGTGGGAAGATGGCATGGGCGCTGGGTCCCCGGCTCCTGGAGGAAGGGCACCATTAGAGTCACTTTCTTAACCCACTGTCCCTACACAGAGGCCCTTCTCGTCCAAGAGTCCAGCCAGTGGCCAGGTCAACGGGGCATCCGCGCCCAACAGTAACGGGGCAGCAGGTATGCACTTCGGGCCCCCCACCCACTTGGAGGGCCTCCACCCTGTCTGCATTCAGGACACATGCTGGCCTGACCATCCCCAAAGCCCAAACTCAGCCTCAGACAGTCCGTTTGGACCCCGGTGGCAATAGTGGGTTATGAGTTGGGCTGCTAACCACAAGGTCAGCGGTTCAAAACCACCAATCGCTCTGCGCGGGAGATAGATGAAGAGTCTACTCTCCTGAAGATTCACAGCCTCGGAACCCCCTAGGGGGCAGTTCTGCTCTGACCTTTGGGGTTGCCATGAGTCCTGAGCCTGGGAATGGCTCTTGAAAATAAATTAATCAGTAAGCCTTTTCTTGGGAGGGAAGTGAGGGCCCGTGCCTGGCCCCTCTACCCTGAAGCTTGACACCTCTACCCTGGGCTGGATGAATGCGCTGCAAGGGGCAGAGCCTTCGACCTCTGGCGGGCTTGAGCGCAGTCAAAGGGGTCCCCAGACCACCAGCCAGTCCACCTTGTGGCTCTTGCAGCAGCCCGGGCCAAAGGCAAGGAGGAGACCTCAAAAGAAGTTATTGGTAAATTGGGGGCTTGGGGGATGAACCTGGGACGGGGCTGGGG